GAGTTGGAGCGGTGGGTTGAAGTCGGCGATGTGGATGGGTTCAATCTGAGCTACGCCTCGATCCCTGAGACCTTTGACGATATCGTAACGTATTTGATTCCAGAGTTGCAGAGGCGTGGGATCTTCCACACAGAGTATGCCGTCAAGGGAGGCACATTCCGCGAGAATATGTATGGGGAAAAGGGACAGACACGACTGCCCCAGTCTCACCCAGGGGCTAAATACGTGTGGCACGCAGGAGAGGAGACCCCAAAGTACGCGTTAGAAAAGCAAACATGAATTGATGAAAATAGATTATGAAGGCTAAGTACAGATACGCAATATGACAGCGTGTGGTTCGAATGAGAAGATAGCAACAGCAAGTTGTTCTATTTTAGATCAAGTTTCAACTGAATTGTGAATGTATAATAGAGTGTCAGATATAGTAAGCCCTCCTGGAGGCGTGGTAGGACCAACATACTTTAATTCTTGTCCACTTCTCAAATCTCTCAGATTGAAGCCACATAAAGTAACTTCAGGATAATGAGGCGTATTTCTCGGGGTAGGGAATACCAGTGCACCATGGTGGCAGTCTTCCTCAGGATGATTTTATAGCCTGATTACCTGCCTCACTGTCATAACAGACCATCAGCGGCTAAACGGTTGTTTTCACTGGAGGGTCCTAAGGTCTAGATGGAATGAGAAAAGCATCACATGGTAGAAGGTATTTCCATATAGTATGCTGGCATAACCTGGTTCTAAGACAATATTCAAACATCTAGGGCTAACAATCAAACATCCCACCAACCCTCCATATACGTCTGAAGATCTATTGTATCAGGCCGCCTCACATGTGGCACCAGATCTGCGCCCTCAGATCGTTCTCGCTTGGTCCACCCATTGCCGAAGTACGCAAATCGATTACCGCTAGGGTTGACATATGCGTACTCCCAATCCTCCCACCGTGGCTCCCGGCGGATATAGTTTACTGCGGCAGCGCTTCCAGGGAACAGGCCATGGATACGACCACCAGGACGGCCACCATTATACCAAGACCGACAGTTCTTCTGTCCAGGGGTGGAGTCATCGTTGCCTGTCCATACGGTGCGAGGGTAGAACGTATCAGAGTACTCGACAAAGTCATCAGTGGCTTGCTTAGATGGAGCCATCGACTTGATATCCTGGCTACGGATCTTTCGCAAGACCTTGGCAATATAAGTAACCAGGTTCTCCATGCTATTCGGTACGCTTCCGCTATGGCCTGTGGCATGAGGGCCGCCAATCCAAAGAAGATTTGGAAAGCCTGGCGTTGCGATACCAAGATAGTTATAGGGGAATCCCCACAAGCCATCATGTTTCCAGGCTTTCTTTAGATCAATTCCATTTGCAATGATCGGGAACGGAGGCGCATGGTCAACATTGGCTCCGGTAGCGCAAATCACAACATCAACAGGCCTTTCAACGCCATCTGCCGTCACGATGCCTGTCGTTGTGAAGCGTTCGATCGGCGTCTGTATGTAACTCACGTTATCTTTTGCCAGCGCCTCTAGATAGCCAGGCCCTGGCGTAGCTCGCCGACAGTTTGGTGGAAACTCCGGTAGAATTTTATCTGCTAGCTCCGGTTTCTCAGCGATACGCTGCAGCATTAGTTGCGTCCATGTGTCTCGTTGTGCGCGATTCTCCGGTGAGTCTTTGAAGATTGCACCAAAGCGTGAGAAGTATCCTTCTTCCACACTCTTGCGATATTTGATATATGTGTCTGGGTCTTTGAACGATTCAAGCTGTTCGGGAGAGAACAAGTTTGGCTCGAGTCGGCGCACACCAGTCGTGCCAAAGGAGTCTGCTACCCAGGTGCGGTTACGCGCATAGTGATCGACATGCTGTGCAATCGGCTGGATCGAAGGCAGAACTTGGAGGCCAGACGCCCCATTGCCAATAAGAGCAATTCGCTTTCCTTCCAAGTCGGCCTCATGATCCCAATGCGAGGAATGGAAAATAGTCCCCGTGTATTGATCAATGTCGGGATAGTTGGGTAGTTGCCAATCGTTGAAGTGGCCGATCGCATTAATCAGGACGTCAAGATGTTCGACATATACCTTGTTCTAGTCAGTATCATTCCTTTTGTGAAGGTTCTGTAGAAGAGTCGCACCCTTCCTATCCCAACATCCTGGACGGTGACACGCCATTTTCCTGTTTCAGGGATCCATACGGCTTCTTCCACCTTGTGTTGCAGCCGTGTATATTTGTAGACCTGGTACTTGCGGGCAAGCCCTTGCCAGTACTCCCGAATTTCGTGTCCCTGTGCGAACTCCTCCGTCCACTGCGTGTTCGGTGCAAATCCGGATTGGTATACATGCGCTGGAACATCGCATCGGACACCAGGATATGTGTTTTCGTACCATGTACCTCCCTGATACCAGTCAATGATTTCACCCATATTGCTATGCAAGGGTATTTCTCAGGAACACCTACCACATCCGCATTCTTATCGAAAATCCGGAGGTCAAGACCGGGTACCTTAGCGGGCAAGAGAATCCCAGCAGTGATACCAGCTATGCCAGCACCGATGACGCCAACTTTAATATTTCGAACTTCATCGATCGGATGTTCCTCTATCTCGAAAGCAGGCCTTCCTTGGGGAGAAACCTCCTCTGTTTTCTCTATGACAGTGGACGTGGCGGGTCCTTTGATATCTGTCGAACCACCGACCGGCGCATGACTTTGTGCATGGCCATTTAGTATTGGGATAGTCCTATCCGGCACGACGGGCACTTCAACAGCAGCCATTCTGGTATGAGATTCTCTACAGGCTGATTAGCAGGGAAGGTGTCTCCAACTACGCGTTTAAATATCGTAGCCGAGGTGATGTTGCGCAAGTTGGAGCTTAATTGCGCTCATCATTGCGGGGCGCGAATCCTGGGATAACCCCTCAATAAGAGCACTAATTATAGACTACATGCACGCCATCGGCAGCCATTCCGCGATAGGATTGTTGGTGTTGCATTTTGGCAGGCATTCCGGGTAGCCGCGTCACATCATCGCGGGAGTCAATGGTGTCAGACTCCTTCCAAGAAACAGCCCGTGGATCTCCGTAATTTTCAAAAGGCCTGTATTTTTATCGGGGTCATAATTGAGAATATCTAACAGAAGAACCCCTATATGTACTTTTGTGTCTCCTGCAACAATGGGGATTTGGGGTTGACTCCAACAGTCCAGACTCTATATCAATTCTGTTTCAGGTCACTTTTGACGCGATAATATGACTACACTTAATTCATGATAGCTACCCCCTGTAAACCTCTTCCTGAGCTCATAGTAGTACGGTTCTACTAGCAAAAATATTAACAAATTATGCCATCAACTCTGCCTGGAATCCTTCCTGAGCTACTGGTTGTCTGCATCAAACTCTTTCCATATCCCATCGATTGCCTCATGCCTCTTCAACGCCCAGTCAAAGGTGGGATGCCACTCATTCTTGCGATATGCCTCGTAGAGACGGGCGATATTCTGCGCAAAGACTGGTAGCTCATCCCATTCATCTGTCTCCGGTAATAATTCCTCTACATCTTTTGTGTCATTTCTCGCAATCTCCAGTTTGATTCCCGGGCCGCCGACATTCAAAGACACATGCGGGGAGGCCAATCGCAGCCAGCCCTTTTCGCCTTGAATACGCCAGTCCAGTCGGGGCTGACCTGGGAACTCCTTCCCGGCATGGTATTTGATAGCCACCGCGGCATTGGAAGGCTCAACGGTGCCAAAAACGAGAACCTGATCCGGGACAGTATTTCGAGCACCCGTTTCGACGATCTTACCGGCGTCTCCAACGCTGTAGTCCTTAATATCTATCGTGGGTCGGCTGATTGACGAAAAGCTCCTGAGAGTTTTGAATTCCCCAAGGACTGTAAAACGTATGAGTGTCAAGCGGAAGCACGTCTTTGAGGCTACTCACCGGCAGCAATGAACTCCAAGCTGTGACCAACATGAATAGTGATTGGATTTCCCCCAACTTCACGATCGAGGAAGTACCGTACGTTCTTGCTCTCTGCATCGACATTATTGCCGAACGATCCGGTGATCGTACTAGAGAGTACACGTCCGATCTGGCCACTTTCGATAACAGATCGCATCTTGCGAATGATCGGTGAAAAGGCGCCCTGTATGCCGACGATGGTGCGCGCGTTGTGCTTGGCCGCTAGAGTAGCCATCTCTTGGGCCACTTCGAGATTACGGTCTAGTGGCCATTCAACGTAAACTGCCTTGCCGGCGATAAGACTAGGGCGCACAGTCAGAAAGTGTCGGTCAACACGAACACTGCAGACCACGAGGTCGACGTTGGGGTCGTTTGCGAGATCTGATCTTCTCATAAGCATTTTCCCACTTTACGTGATTTTCGAGCGAACCTTGCGGATCACCGTAGGCCTTAGTTTTGTCCGGCAGACCATATTTCTGGATTGCTGTTTGTGCAGACTCCACGGAGCTATTTAGCAGCGCAACAATCTCAAAATTGGGGGACTTGGTGAGGAAGGGCAAGTGGGCGCTGGCGGTCCACGAGGTGCCCTCGTAGTTCTCTGCCGAAGCACTGTGCAATCCGATTAAACCGACTCGAATAGACATACTTGATTAATTTCTGGTTGAGTTAACTGTGATTGTAGGATGTAGTCTGGGTCTTGGGAGTTTCTACTATATATACGCCAAAGATGTCGGGAATCTGACACAATAGTGTTATTATAAATCAAACCGGAAGCATAATCCTTCCGCTAGATCGTGAAAGCTCCTTCTGCTTAGAAATCAAGTACACTGAGCTTCATTTAGCCCCTAATAATAGTCCCCAGGCTTTTTTAAGCGAGCGAGGCCTTCCTCTGCCGAATCCAAAGGCTTTGGCGTGTCTGAAGAGAAGACACAAGATGGCCAACAAGAGTATGAAAGTTATTCATCAACCATCTACTCAGATGCACTCCACGATAGTAAATATTCACTTCGGGTTACTCTACATTATATCTGTCTATCGTTAACGCTGTACCTTATCGGTTGTCGGCCGTTATATAGAAGTCCTGCCAGCGATGTGCCTGCTCGAAGCGCAACATCCGCTTCATCTTTCTATTAGTGACCGGGGCCTCCCTGGTTTCCATCTCCCTCGTAATCGGTGTGTTCGGACACATCTTCTCCAAGAACGCTGTAGTCGACTCGGCGAAATTAGTAATCTCATCATTGACTGCATTGAAAATCTGAAACCCTAGCCCATCCGTCACCAAGCATCGTTCAAACATGAGTCCAATATCCCTTGCATCTGTATATGCCCAGCCATGCACCTTATACTCCTCTAGCCTCTCCACATATCCTTGGAACTTTTCCTGAAATTCGTCCGGTGCGACCACCGCTCCCAATCGCATCACATAGATGTCATTTTCAAACCGCCGCGCAAAGCTCCGCGCCGTGCGCTCCCCACAGACCTTAGACAAGGCATATACATCCATTGGGTTCGCATCGACATCCTCATCCACAGGAAACGACGGATAATCAACATCCCCCTCGGCGAACGACACGCCATACACGGTTATAGAGCTTGCCAGAACGATCTTCTTCACACCCACCCGACAGGCCGCTTCGATCACGTTGTAGAATGATAGTACATTGCCTCGGTATGTCTCTGTATCAGGGACGATCATGTTGCGCGCGTATCCTGCGAGGTGGATGACGGCGTCGGGGACTTGCTGGTGGGGTTCGCGAAAGGGTTCGGTGAGGCGAAAATGCGAAAGCAGGGCGCCGTGGACTTGGCCACTGTCCGTAAGGTCCACCTTCAAAGTGTGGACTTCTGCATTGAGTGGTGGTGGGAGCGGATTCAAGTCTAGGTTCAGGATGGAGTATCCCTGGGCGAGAAGATGGCCGATGATGTATTGCCCTGCTTTGCCGGAGCCGCCGGTTACGATTATTCGCTTGGACATGGCGTGATATGGGGTGTGACTGTAGAATAGGGAATATCGAATCAGTCTTGAGCGTGCTGGAAGGTTGGTGAAGGTATGGATGTTATCAGAGAGGTCGCGCTGTTCGCTCTGCTGGTGGATATTCGCTTTTCCATTGATTGCGGGGCAGTGCGGGGAAAAGAGCTTAGATAGAGATAAGCCTACATTTGCATTAGGTTGATGTACATAAATTAAGTATCCCAGTAATTTGAATATAGACCTCCGTTTATATGATGAAGTCTACGACAGATGTGAGCCAAAATAGGACATCTTAATTTTATGGCAGACTCGCTTTACGGTTTAGGTACATGCAATATAGATTCTGAGTGTTCATCACTGGAAAAGGCCCACAAGGTAAATCTATGAGGACCAAGAAGGGTACAAGGAAAGGAGAAAATAGAGGGAACAAATCAGTTACTCTTCGACGGGCAAACACTGTCGATGCAGAGTATATGTGCTCAGCGCAGCAATTAATCTTTCAGTACTCTGAAATATAACTATGACAATTCGTCTTGATCCTTTGGATATACTCATTGCCTAACAACATAGTATACAGTGCAGTTGGCATACTATAGGTTAGACCAAGTACAACTTGTAAGATATAGTGAACTAGTTCCGCGAGCCTCGAGTCTAGTACCAGACAGAAAACTTCTATTCAGTGTATTGGCGAGGGACACTTTTTTAATATACATATCTCATTCTGTGTTGCCCGAATATGGCAGCATATATATGGTCTCGACCATGTAGTTAACATATGAGTGATGATGAAATTCACACATATCAACAGCACTCGTGTACCATATGAGGCCACGAAAATATATATCAGTTTCCGATGATCTTTCATGAGGTGAACTCTGGATAAGAACTTGCGAGCTATATTACTATTAAAGATACATACATATTCCATGAAATTTATTCAATTTCTCAGGTCTGTCGGACAGCTTATCCTGTTATCAACTTCTGTTGTTCCGATGAATTTGTTCTGGATTGATGAGCGGGTTACTATATTTGGCAGCCAACCACATGAGGCAATTCCGGTCACCCCGTGACTGGGCGATAGTATATCACGCTAGTCACATCCGGACTAGTGCACTATATATGAAGATGGAGAACGCATCGAATGAAACAAAGCATCGTTTGTACACTTGCTTACTGATCACCCCCTTACTTGGGATTGACTGATATAAGCATTCTCGTAGAACCTCAACAAGGGATGCTCGTGGTGCAACGCAATCTGAGATTATTACCTGAGCCTTTCCCTCCCCCAGTCGACGATGCTGTCCTTACGCGTGCGTGGCACGCGTCTACTAGGTCGCGTGACCCGTAATTCTCTCTCAAAGACGCAGGTCAGGAACTTCTACTCAAGGAATGACACGTCCCCAGCTATCAACAAAACATGGAGGTCCTTTGCAATTACCGGCCTGGTTAGTGCACCAGGCTTTTGGTGGTTGACAGCCACTCACGACGACGATGTGCCTCGTCTGGAAGCTTCACCAGCCGGGCACTTAGTGGCCGAGCCGGGTCCTTCCAAAGACGAAGTGACGCGTATCATATCTAAAGACGCATATTCATTTCCAGTCAAGAGTGTTGCTGGAGTGAATAGATATGACGGCACACAGCTGGCGTCCAATAGCCTGTGCGAGGACCGCTTCACCCATGGTATTTTCCCGTCTCCGTTGAATGATGGCGCTCAGTGGATGGCGTGGGCGGTCTTTGACGGACACGCGGGCTGGCAAACAGCAGAGCTCCTGAAGGATCAACTCTTGCCCTTTGTGCGACATAGCTTGGGCCAAGTTAAGTCAGCATCCTCCGAGGAAGGATCCATACCTGATGAGGTGGTTCATCACGCGATCACGAAGGCGTTTGTGGACCTGGATGACTCGATTATAAAGACAGCCTTGCAGACTATTCAAAGTAGCGAGCCGCTGCAGGACAAGCTGAAGAAATTGGCTCCTGCCTACGCTGGTTCATGCGCTTTACTCTCTTTGTATGATTCGGTCACCAGTTCATTACACGTGGCGTGTACTGGAGATTCCAGAGCGGTTCTCGGACAGCAATTACCAGATGGCAAGTGGGAGGCAATTCCATTGTCAGTCGATCAGACTGGCAGCAACAAAGATGAGGTTGCGCGGATTAACCAGGAGCACCCGGGCGAAAAGAACATAGCTAAAGATGGACGGATACTAGGGATGATGGTCTCACGAGCTTTTGGTGATAGTCGGTGGAAGTGGGCTTTGGAGCTGCAGCAGGACCTTAAGGAAAGGTTTGGGGGCCCATCACCGCTAACACCAAGGTATGACGTTCGCACACCACCATACCTAACTGCCGAGCCTGTTGTGACCACGACGAAGATTGACCCGAGTAAACCTTCGTTTGTCATCCTGGCCACGGACGGCATGTGGGATACACTATCCAACCAGCAGGCTGTAGATCTAGTTGGTAAATGGCTGGATGCACAAATTCATGGGCACCCAAACAGCCAACCGAAAGCAGAGTATAAATCTGTCGATTTCGGTGACCTTGGGAACGGGGTGGACTGGGAATTTGAGGAGGGAAGAACGACAATCCAAGATGATAACGTTGCCGTGCACCTAGTGCGCAATTCCCTCGGGGGAAACCACCACGAGCTCATAGCAGGCCGTCTCGCTCTTGGGTCTCCGTTCTCCCGCCGTATACGGGACGATATGACCGTGCAGGTGGTTTTCTTTCACTGCCCACGTCTACCACCGAAGTAAGCTACAAGGACATAGTAAAAGAATCTACGAGGGTTATTTCCTAAACTTTGTGCAATCCTTATCATGTTTCGGTGGGCCCACCAGCTCTGGGTGGCTACTACCACTCCTGGTCGTGGTGTTATCTCGGAATAGCCTCAAATCATGGGGATCCAAATACGGTGCCTGATGTTATCCTGAATGTGCCGATCGGTCACTATGGTAACTCCTTCGTCCACTGATGATACCTCGAGGTTTGAGATATCCATCAAGGCTTTGAAGCTAATCTTGATTGCCTACCTCTGGTGATTCTGGACAAAAGGTGAGAAACGCCCATTCACGTCCAGATCAACTTCGGCTTTGGCATGCTGGGTGTTTACTTTCTTCTCATACCTCATTTGCTAAACCTTAGTGCTAAAGTCATACGAGTTGATCACACTGTGGGCATGCGAATACCAAGGAATGTACTAATGATTGGAGATTTTATCACGGGAGAAACCAATAATGACGGCCAATGAGTCACCTAACCAACTGCTTGCAACGGCTAGCTCTCCGTAGGTATGGGTGAAGTTTAACGCTCAGGTCTCTGTATATCTTCCTCGCTCGCTAAAGACAGGCAGCATACAAGAGGACAGCCTACCATAGACACATTGGCGTGGCTCTCTAGAAGGAAACTACGCTTTATGATATCATCAGCAGCGAGCTCGTCTTAACCCGATATACAATAGGCGTTCAAACATTGAGCAGTTCTGATATGGTAAGGAAATCCTCCAATGTACGTGAGGGGATGAGGTCATGATGTCCAAAAAGTACATACATAACAAGGCTCAAAGGAGAGTAAAGTGACAGACATCAACAACCAGTGAGGAAGACACTACGTTGTGCTGACTGAATCCACGTGTCTTTTCAACAACACAAAAGCCCCTTCACCCTTCGCAAGATTCCCGGTGACCAAGTCAGCACTGTACTTGGGAATGAACGAACCCTCCTTGACAACACCATTTTTGACCACGTAGAGCTTGGGGTCACCTGCAACTTGTACGATACAATTATGCCACGGTGTCGGTATATGAAGAAGATGCGATGCAGTCACATCGCCTTCATCACTGTTGATACCACTACTACCGATTGAATCTAGTTGGCCAATAGCGCGTACCGTCGCAGTGTCAAACAGTCTGATCCCGAATTTGGGGCCGGAGTTATTGTGGGCATGAATTGACAGGCGTAGACAATCCGGGAATATCAGCTCAATCAAATTGGAATACGCTTGGTTTCGCAAGATCATCTCGAAGGCGACTTTGGCTGCAAGCTTCTTTCGTTGTGAGCGCGACTGTGATTGTGTGAGTGGATGTCGATCTAGGTCCTGGAGCATGAATCGTGAGAACCCACGATACAGAGCTAAGGTGGACTTGTCTCCGGATTCGATTTGTGTACGAAGGCTCTCTTCGGAAGGCTGACAGCCGGCTACCAGAATTCGACGACATAATTCTGCGGTATTGTCGAGGTTTGTGGCGAGGTAATGTTGCAGCTCGGGGAGATCCAGCATTCCGACAGCAATCGGGGAAGTCAAAGGTGAGAACGATGTCAGTTTGAACAGGTCAACAAGAGATTGAAACTGAACTCGCTCCGTTTCTTCGCTCATGGCTAGAGAGATGGCTCGATTGAGTACTTTGAGATGTTCACCATATTCATCTACCGTCTCATCATCAACCCCGACTGCCATGGCCGTTAGTTGTAAGATATCACAGGGGCATGAATCATTGACAACTTACTGCAGTCGCTAAAAACGTGACCATCGCTGATGATTGATATTTTAGCTCCAGGTGGATATATTTTTTCGACCTTATGTGCAAACGCGTGCAGTCGGCGCAAGGCAATTTCCTCGCCCCTATCCGGAAGGACACCGATAACCTTCTCAAGATTCGATGACTTGCACGGAAACGCCGGAAGGCACAATTGCAATGTGGAATTATGATACACAAAAAACCGCACTTTCTCTGCAAAGTAATTTCGACCCTGAGTTTCCCATTGGTCATTCTGCACGCAATACCGGAGCTCTTTGTCGAACAAATTCACGATCCGTTCAACTGTTAGGTCTACTGGAGGCTCGGTTACTGCTGGAAGAGTGGTAGCAGTGACATCGATACGGTCCAAGATCAGTTCCGCAAAGAACTGATCTATCGACACTGAGCCTATCGTCCAACCCGGTGGAGCAGGTTTGAGCATGAAACCGACGATGCTGTCCATGTTCGCTCTTTGTCGTTCGTAGATGTCTACTTCCTGTAATTCCAAGTCGTCATCATTTCCAGGTAGGCAAACCTTAAGGCAATGACCCAAACCTGGCTCTGTAGCCATGACTGTCGATTGAATCGCTGACCAGGTACATTGGATCCATTGCGAATGCAGTCCCATGCAGCGGATGAGACCACCGTCAGGAGTTCGTACATATACTCCTAGCGCCCTTCCATGGATTGAAGGCATTGCAGTTGCGCTCTGTATGATGCTCGTTCTCGCCATGTTGACGGCAGAATATGCAGAAGTCTTCTTCATAGATTGGAGGTAAAATGCAAGTAATTCTAGGTCTATCACGTACAATAGCAAGCCATTAACTCAGGGCGTTTTTAACAGCGACGGCCAGAAGGGGATGCTTGAATCATGCCAGAGCCAGATCCACCCACTATTGTCTACCCGGTGCTCGTATTATTACGCAACTTGAAAGGCTGCTAGCGAACAGCACAATCTGTTATTCCCGTGGCAGGATTTAGAGCGAACATGGATCTGACACCGGACCCTTGAGGATCCAGTTAGTGGGGATAATGGGTCCATGCTATTTCCTTAGCTTCCTGATGCATGATACGAATAGAACTTACACGAGGGTCAGACAGAGCCCACTGTGATTTCACTGGCGCTACACTTGGGCGGAATTCGGCAGCTTCGTCATTTGATAGCCAGTTAGCATGAGGCTGTTATTCATGACTCCCACAAGATTCAAGTCCTTAGGAGGTCTACTAGGACCAATGCGGTCACCCGTTCATTCCACTTCAATATTTGGCGCTCTAAAAGACACCAGCACGCCGTGTTCTTTGCAATATCCGAATCACTAACTTCCCGCGGAATGGTCATGCACGCTCTCTGTATCATTATCGTGAAGGCCTTCGGGGTAGGGATCTTGTTTTTGGTAATTTGTATCCTTTCGAGGATCATACCGCCTCGGTACCCTCAAAATATCCCTGCTGTTCCCTTCTGGGTGACTTTGCTTTCCTTGTTTCGCGATATCGACCAAGAGGAAATCTACAGGAGGCATATCCAGAAACCTCTCCAAACCCATGGAGCTATTAAGATATTCTTTGCGGGGCAATGGAATTTGCTTGTACAACGATCAGGTTATCTCAACGAGATTTTTAGAAACGAGGACTTGTATCAGAAAAGTGGGAACCAGAAGAAGATTCCACACAGCGTGCTGGCTGAGTTCTTAGGTCTATTCCCGTCTCTCACCCGATTGCTCTATTGCTGACAGTTGTGCCGAAAGGTGACAACGTGATTTCCTCCCGCGGCACAACATGGCGACTCTATCGAGACATTATCACGCCGGGTCTTCAGGGGCACTTTGACACAGGTCTCGTGGCCGCAAATGCAGAAGAGCTTTGCTCTTCGCTTTTAATGCGGCAGAATACCGTGGGCAACCGGGGTGTGCTTGTTCAGGATCTCCTGCAACAGTTAACCATCGCTAATGTTTCGCAAGTACTCTTGCAAGCAAACCACGTCTGTAGCCTTCTTTAATGAGTCCAGCTTATTCACCACTGATATCAAAGATACAGAAACCTACCAAAGGAAACGAACCATCGCTTCATCAGCTCCAACTAGCTGTAAAGAGGGAGATCTTCAAACCCATCTTCATGAACTTTCCAGTCCTGGACAGATTCGGTAGGCTGATCCCGTGCCGTGTGAGAGCCCGAAACATGGTGGAACAATTCTCAGCCGCATTGGAGCGCTCTGTACGGCATGGCCAGGGATCGCCCCAACCTGCCAATCTAGGGGCACGTTTAATTGCTGCGAGAGATAGTGGGGTACTCACGGAGAAGCAATTCCGGGACAACCTGAAAGTGCTTTTTGTCGCCGGACAAGAGAACCCGCAACTGCTCCTGATTTCGATGCTATATCTGCTTGCGAAGCATCCGGTAAGCGCGTCAAATCATCCATAGTGGACGTATCTGATGTGATAGAATGTACAATCTCGACTGAGGCAGGAAGTCGACGCGTGTAATACACAAGACCCCTCGAAGGTTGCTTTCAGCGAGCTTCCCTATTTGACATCCGTTATCTACGAAAGCCTCCGTCTCCTGCCTCCTATCTCACAACTCATCAACCGCAGGACGTCACAAGACCTCGTCTTGGGAAATCAGATCTACATACCCAAGGGCACATACGTCGGCTACAACTGCTACTCTACCAACCGTGACCCTGCAGTCTGGGGACCGACAGCGGACGAATTCCGGCCAGAACGGTGGGGTCAAAGTAACACAGAGATTTTGCAGTGTTACCGCCAGAGGAGAGCCCGTGCGGAATTCGTTTCTTTCCACGGTGGTAGCCGCGCCTGCTTGGGGGAGAAATTCGCGCTCCTCGAGGCCCGAGTGGCGCTGTTTGTTCTGATCAGCAGACTCTCATGGCTGCTGGACCCTGAATGGCCAGATCGTAAGACGCCGGTAAGTCGTGTTTTTAATTCCTGGGGCTGGCTGCATCCTCGAGGGAAGCAAGAAAGGAGCAGAGGCTGACTCGTAGTGTTTCAGGCCGGTCCGCTGTACCCAAGAGCTCTCCGTCTAGTTTTCACTGAACGGAAGTAAAGGCCAATTGCATCTAGGAAACAAGTCAGAGGAGTGCTTTTTTCTTTTTCATTTTCTTTCGCTCTTCGTTATTTTATTTTTATTTTCTTAGGAACAATGCAGTTTGGCTTCTGCAGGATGGTTCGTAGAATAGCTTCTCTTACGTACCAGAATCGCCGGAAATCTCCGATGTCCAAAACTAGGCAAAGAAAAACTTCTCTTTTCTTCTCTTTTTTCGCGTATTCCGGCTTGCTCTGACTATAGAAAAACATGAATGGTAACAGAAAGAGCGAAGCGAACAATGGTCTGTGCTACTCCATGTCAAAGGAAATGTGCGCAAAAGTTCTCTGGTGCTTACATTTTTAATCTCGCGATGTGGTGCTTGTGTTCCTTCGCCCCAGACTTGGACAATGCCTTTTGCCTGCCAAGCGACGCTAAAGAACAAGATGCGCCACGCGATATTTCTAAGTTCTCCGCGGATGCGCTTCTTGGTGCGACTCATGCCCTGCTGAGCCGTCCGATGTGATGCAAATTACTCCACGGAGTTGAGTCAGTCGAGGGAAGCTTTAAAAGTTGACAAGTGGTGGAACGGTCACTACAGAAACAACAGGGGACGTCCTTTCATTAGGGCTTATTGTCTGTCGCGGGTCCACGCAGATGCACAGGAACGGAGCAGAACATTCTTTCATTCCAATCGTAATACAATGTTACAAAACAATAGACTACTTGTCTCACAAAATGTTCATAGGACAAATTCCCATGATATGCCATTAGTTGCCTGCTCTAGCCTCGCTCAATGGCACCTTCGCATCTTCGATACCCTTCGGAATGTCCACCCAGATGTACAGCAAGCCCGCAAGGAAAATAAGTAACACGTTAGGGATCATGGGAAACCGCAGATTATGCGTATGATCTTGGATCACGCCCTGGACAAGGGGATTAATCCATCCAGTGGCAAGATCCAGCGTGATCTCGAGACCAAAAAACTGTGCCTCAGACCCACAGGGGATGAGCGACGCAAAGACCGTCCTGTTATAGGATCGCAGCGCGCTACTGGTGCTCATGAAGAGGACCTGTTCCACCCAGAACTCGGCGGCATGCTTATACCCGATCGTGACGTGGTTGCTGATCCCAATGCATCCCCACAGAACGCACAGGAAGTTGACGCTCAAGAAGAAATAGGCCCAGCTTTTGATCGGGACACGGACATGTGGATAGAGAAACAAAAAGCTTAAGCTACCCATGCAGGCGAAGATCACGTTGGTAAAGGACCAAACGTGATAGACGCCCGAGCCTCTCGCGATGCCGGTGACCTCAAGGAAGAGCGACTGAGTCAAGCCGAGGAAGTTGGAGTAGCCAGTGTTCCACAGGATCCAGCCAATGCAGAACTTGAATGCTTCGGGATACTGACGTGCAGACCCAATCATGCGTATCCACCCTTTCACGGCGAGGAGCAAAAGATTCTGACCCTTGGGCCGCTCTTGACCCGGCACCGAGGGGAGCATGAATTGACCAATGGTCGCGAAGACAACTGCACAAAACGGTTCAGATACGAATCTATATGTGGCGCGGAGCCATACTTACTCGTAATGCAGCCGGCAATTGTAATGGCGAGGAGGTAACTGAAGTAGCCCACTTGCGCATATGACCCGATCCCGTAAACGAGGATGATACCAATGAGCAAGGAAACAATACCTCCTACATTGCTTGCAACCAATGCCAGAACACTCACAGTGAAACCCTTTTTCCATGTACGCTTTGTGTCCGGATCGGCTGCTGGAGATGCAGAGTGCAAACCACCCACCGAGCGCATGAAAATTGGGATGTACGATGCCTCAATAACGGTATATACGCCTTGTACGGTAGTGAGCAAGCAATACAAGGTCGCGAGCGCATTGAGGTGGCTATAGTCGGCCTTTGTTAGACCGGCGAACGGCAGCGCCAGTGCGCCAAATAGGAGAATTGAGCACAACATCATAGTTTTTCGATATCCTGGCTTGCAATGAGCGAGTCAGTGAGTGCTTCCCCGTGAGGCCTTGGTGAAACATATAGTGGGGATGCCCTTACGCGAGTAATCTGCTACGCCAGCAGTCATGATAGTGACAACGCCTTCCATGGCGCGACCAATCGAGCGTAGGTAGAGCCTGGTTTGGTCAGTGGCACTTCCCCAAAGATTACGGTGAAAAGCATACACATAGCTGACATAGTCAATTTCTCCTGCGCCGAACTTCACCAAGCATTTGATATGCCCTCGGCGAGCGCAGGGTTTGTCTGATCCCGGCTGATGGCCAACGGTGTTCGCTGCAGACTGGATTGCCGCCGAGACATAATTGAAAGCCATTGAGCTAGTCGGGCCGGTCTTGTTTCAATCATCAGTAAAGGAGGTACTACAAAGATGTCTTGGAATATCCTCACAGAAAAGCAGAGAATTAGGTATGCCCATAGTGCCTTCTTGGTACTGAGGGAGGCCACTTGTTGACTGTTGATGGTGGCTTCGCTGGCGTACTCTTCATCAGAACCAGTATTCTGTTCATGGGTGCGGATATCATCCTTATCCCGATCTCCTCTCAGAATGGGATCTGTGGAACGCATGGTCATATTAGTGACATGTAAAGTGTGTAATAGCGAGGGTTCACAGTGTCATCTATAGACAGAGTATACAATGCGAGACCAAGATGACCAACCAGGCAAATATGAAAGATGTTTGATATAAGTAATGGTCAAGAAAGCCTTAGTCTAATCAGATAAACCGTATGAAAGAAAAGAAAGCCAAAGTCCCAGCCAACTATGAGAGGCATACTGACTAACAAGGTGTATGTGCGCAGGATTGAGCACATTTTCATGGGTACGATTTATTGTGGAGAATAATAGCCCTTATTATTATACCTTGCATTTTCACCATGGAACTCCACTGGTGATACGAGGTTTAGGGTGACTAACTAGTTCAATGAGGATTACTATTACCTATTTTTCTCTCTTTCATTAGTAAGTAAAACTTTCAAGACTTTCTTATACCTAGGACACGAACTGCTTTGTTCGTGCAAGGCGTTCGCGTTGGTCTTTCGAGCATATTTTCGGACATGACAAGCCCTGCCACCAGCCCACCGAACGAGCCAGGCTCAGTCGCAAAGGGGGAAAAGCCGTCAAACTTTGGTACTGCGCCGGAGAAAACAACAGCAAATGCAGTCGCTCAACCGCCGCCCTATACGGCCTTCTCTCGCCCGAAGAGAGTGTTTATTCTCGCGGTGGTCACAGTGGCCGGCTTCTTGGGTCCATTGGCAGGAAATATTTACCTTCCTGCCTTGCCTGTTTTAGAAAATGAGTTCCAAGTAAGCGCTGCAGCGATCAATGCCACTGTTTCCGTATTCATGGCGGTATTCGGTTTCGGTGTGAGTCTTTTGACACAATCCCAGGTTGCCAGCGACGATGGTCTAACGTTTACATAGCCCCTCTTTTGGTCGAGCTATGCGGATTGGAAGGGTAGAAGACCATTGTACTTGATATCTCTAGTAGTATATATCATCGCAAATGTTTTGATGGCTGTCCTTCCGACGAACTTTGGTGCTCTGGTGTTTCTGCGCATCGTCCAAGCATTTGGCTCATCGGCTGTAGTGTCGATGGGCGCCGGTACAGTCGCTGATGTATGCAGTACCCTTTTTCTTTTGCCAAAGGTTTAGTTATACTCACCGTATAGACAGATCACGGAACCCAAGCGACGTGCCCGGGCCATGTCATACTTCATGTTGGGCCCTCAGTGCGGTCCTATTTTGGGTCCGATTCTGGGAGGCGCAATCGTTGGTCAAGCAAGCTGGAGATGGATTTTCGCATTCTTGGGTATGCGACTCTCTTGCCTTTTTATTCCTGCAGCTCTGATACAAGCCTAGCAATACTGGCGGCTGTGCTTTGGCTCATCATGCTTCTATTCCAGCCGGAGACTCTTCGAGCCCGAGTAGGCAACGGAAAGCCGTACAGTGATAAAGGTTGGGTATTATGGCCACCCAGCCCTTTCTCCTGCCTCGCCCCCGAGCCCGAGCGCGGTCTCCCTCCCCCGAAGCCTACTCTAAAAGGCTACTGGCGTCTCTTTACCTATCCTCCCATCGGTATTGTCTCTGTCAACACCGCCATTCTCTATTCGTCATATTTTGGGATCGCGGTCCAGCTTCCGACAGCGCTGGAGAATGTTTATCACTGGAACTCGACCCAGGTTGGGGCTGGGTATGTTGCCGTTGGTGTTGCGATGGTTGTGGGCTCCATCGTTGGCGGCCGAGTATCCGACTGGCGTCGAGCTCGCATGGTCAGGGTCCTTGGAGAAGATCAAGTCACCCCGGAGACCAGGCTCCGGGACCAAATTGGAGGCATATTGCTCTGCGTCGCTGGTCTAGCAATGTTTGGCTGGTTTGTTGATAGGGCAATTCATCCGGCAGCAGTGCTGGTGTCAACATTTCTGGGTATGTCTGCCTCCCTTGGCGAGGTTTACGGTCTGTAAAGGGAAAACGAGAGAAATCAAGCTAACGGCTAGGATCTGCCCGCAGTGGGATTTGGAATGTCTTGGATTTTCGTGACGACTAATGCTTTCCTTACCGAATGTATCCGCCAGCAGGCTGCCCAGGCCTTTGCATTGGGAAACATGCTTCGTAGCCCTGCGGCGGCAGTTACTGCAGCGATCATTCATCCATTGACCGTGAGGATGGGATGGGGCTGGTGTTTCACAGGGCTGTCAATATTAAATTTCATTCTAGTCGGGTCAGCAATGGTCATCCTACGCGTCAAGTCGCCTGAGTGGAGAAGGAGAAGGTCTGCCCAGATGGCAGGGAATTAGCTTGGGCAGTTTATGACCATGAAATAAATGTATAACTCTCCATATCAAATTAGGATAAATAACAGAATAGCGCGAACACCTTTCATTCCTTCCAATGCTAGCATGCATATTGCAAAAACGAACGAAACGGAGATGTTCTCGTTTTACGAATACCTTAGCTGTCATCTTTGAGATCTATATGCGCACGTCATCCCGTTTACGGATCACCCCATAGATAAGGCGTGAGCGACACATGCCAACTGATATTGCTTTCTCCGCACTCAATTAACTTCGATCTAAACTTGGCAGGGCGGGCCTTTGAGTTGGAGAAGGATAAAGGGAGTAATTGTGTGATAGCCACGAGGTATTGTGCATATCCGTTTAAGCCTTGGCAGAGGCCATTTTGGCCTTCATTCATGATGCATGAATACCGCCGTATTTCTTCTAGCGACGTAGCTGCTAGCTGTTATCTCCTTCTTCTGGATTCTGCATCCTGAGTTTCCTACTTTCTTCACTGCTGCTTACTGTCCTCACCGCAGCCATGGAGAAAATCACGAATTCAACAGTGTTGTCTTCCGCTGGAGAGAGCAGCTCCGACCTTGGAACAGAAGATGAGAGAAGAAAAGCCTTACTCCAATCTTTTACGTCGGAAGAGGACAAGCGAATCCGGAGGAAGATTGACAGGAGGTTCTTGTTTTTGATTGGCATGATGTATATTATCAAAACTGTACGTACCGAGCGTCATTCTCTGATTTGCGCAAAGTTGCTGTTTCAATACTCATGTTAATGCATCTTAGATTGATTATACCAATGCGGCCTCCGTCAAGGTGTTGCAAGTTGGAGAGGACCGCAATGTGCTAAACGAACTTAAGATGACATCGGACGAATACAATTGGGTCCAGTCGATTTACTTCGTTAGTTCGCCTTTGATCCATTTGCAAAACTCCGATTTGGCTGTTCTCAGCTCTGTCCACAGCTATCAGGAGCAGAATATGAACGAAGAGTAACATCTTATAGATCAGCTACATTGTCTTCGAAGTTCCGAGCAATCTTTTACTGAAGCGGCTCACGCCGCGTCTATGGCAGTCGCGAATCATGTTAACGTGGGGTATTGTCCTCGCCTGCCATGCGGCAGCAAAGAACAAACAAACTCTCTGGGCGCTGCGCTTTCTCTTAGGGATGTGCGAAGCAGGCATGTTTCCCGGAATAGCGGCACAACTATGCGGCTGGTACCGCAGCGATGAGATGGGCAAGCCCATCATGTGGATGTTCGGCTTTCAGAACACGTCTGGCATTGTAGGTTCGCTGTTAGCATATGGAATATCATATATGAACGGGTTATGTGGAATGAGCGCATGGCGATGGTTAGTATCAAATCACACTGCACACGTCTTGAACTAACCAGCCCCAAGGGTTTATTTATTAGAAGGTCTATTCACCATCCTCTTTTCCGGAGTCATCTACCTTGTCCTACCGGACTGGCCTAAGTCCCCCAGGACCAGGAAGTGGCTTTCAGAACGAGAACAGGACTATGTCGAAGCACGACTATCCGAGAACGCACCCAAAACAGCAGACTCCGACTTTTCCAAAGAAGAAGTGATCGCATCGCTCAAGGATCCACGAACCTATGCCTTCATGCTATCCCAGGTTCTCGTCAATTTCTCAGGATACGCCTTAACATGGGAGCTTCCGACGATCACCACCAGCCTTGGATTTGCCGGGCTTCCACGCAATCAGTTGCTAAATATCCCGCCATCTGCGGCGGCAGTTCTGGCGATTATCTTCTCAGGCTGGTTCCTGAAACAGGCATATCTGACTCGCCCTGCATATACCATGTTTTGTATCATGGGGCCGATGCTTGTTTTTTTCATTTTGCTAACGGTCTTGGAATCCCGTGTCGGGATCTATATCTCGTGCGTGCTGGGCAATATGTTTTATTCGGTATATTTCATTCCGTTCTGGGCATGTAAGTTTGCTTCTACACTCCGCGATAGCTCCCTTTTTCTATAGCCCGACGTACTAACTCTGACACAGGGCGAACATCATCTCTAAAAGGCACTACTGGTGCCGCATTCACGTTAGCTTTCCAGTCATGTGTTGGTCAGGTCGGCGGCGTTATTGGACCGCAACTTTTTCAGTCCAAGTTTGCATACAACGGATATAAAACCCCATTCGGCATTTGTGCTGGTGTAATTGGTGCCGCCTGTCTAGCGAACCTATGGACGTGGTGGTTGACAAGGAATGTTGAGTGGGATGTCCGTAGAATCCGTCGGTTAAGAATCAAGGAGGAGAAGCAGGGCCGTATATATGCCGAGGACGATGTAAAGGTCTATCAGGAGCGGCAGTTCTACAAAGGGGTGACAAAGAGGGAATCTGAGACGAATGTGGCTGAGGCAGTATAAAGTAGGAGATATCACGATGTGGTAACTTTCATTGAAAAGACTTTCATAGTCACAATGTGGGGATTATACTGCATATCCAAATACGTCCGAGCCTTTGAGGTCCGGCAGATTTAATTCAAGGACATTCATGACCTTGGAAAATCGAGCTATCACTAGAGCGACTTATGCAAGCGAACTGATGATGTGATAGAAGTGGGGAAGAAGCTAATGAATGCCGTGCTGAACTTCCTACTTTGATTGCCGATGTTGAAGACTAGTGCATTAGGGAGTAGTGCTTCGGATGAAGTCCGCAGATGTAGCTGCAGTAGTATGAACGTGCTCTGATCCTCGAAGCACGTCAACCGGAGATCATCCTGCTTCTGTACATGCAGTTGATAGGCGCTGTTGGGGTAGGAAATGGACGGTAAAGTGTAATAGTTTAATTCAGCCAGGCGTATGCCGCTAGAAAGTGTATGCATACTTCCTAGTTAAAAAGCATAAAATCCTAGGTTTGGCCTGTTTCCCATATGTCCGACACCCCCTTGTCCACCGAGCTTCCCTAGAGTAAGGACAAGAATGAGAGACACTAAAGATACTGTCGCCTGTGAGCAAAGCTCCATTAATGGCGACAGGAAAGATAAGACCCTCCATTACGCAAGTCGTGGTCAGACACTCAGCGAGGAGAACGCTGGTACTGATACTATTTCGGGATTCGATGCCCAGTGGATGAGGGCACGAACATCCCTAACTGCCGAGGAAGAGAAAAAGCTGTTGCGTCGGGTCGATTGGCACATCATGCCACTTTGTGCGATAATGTTTCTGTTGAAGAATATAGATTCCGAGAATGTACGAGAGTACTCATTTGTTCAATGACAATACTGACCTACTTTACATAGGTCGCGAATGCGAGGATCATGAACAAGGGTACAGAAAGAAATATATTGACACAACTTGGCATGACCACTGATCAATATAATCTCGTTACGGTTCTTTATTACGTGGGTATCGATTGGCATTCTTCGCGATTTCGTTGACACCTTTAGATTCCATATATTGTTGCGGAAACCCCGTCAAACCTGTTATTCAAACGACTGCTTCCCTCCAGGTGGCAGTCTCGGATCATGGTAGGCGTTTAAATGGGATTGCTACATGATACGAAACTGACAGCAGCAGATTAGTTGGGGAATTGCCCTCGCCTGTCATACAGCAGTCAAGAATAAGGAGGGACTGTACGCGGTGCGCTTTATCCTTGGCTTGGTAGGGCCCCTGGTGATTTGATTCGGTCATGTAGATGACTCACATTATGGTTTAGTTCGAAGCTGGATTGTTTCCTGGAGTTATTCTCCAATTATGCTACTGGTATCGGCCTGATGAGATGTCACTAAGATTGCTTTACTTTTGTAAGCGGGAGCCGGCCTGCCGAAGCATTTGCAGTACTAACAGGACAAGATATCCTTGGAAACTTCTCTGGAATTATTAGCGGCGTACTAGCCTACGCGTTTGATACAGTGTCCGGGTCTCATGGATTATCAGGTTGGCAATGGTGCGTTTCGTCGTATCTGTGAGGTATTTGTTACTCACGCAGAGATGTTCAGGCTCTTCTTAACAGAGGGCATTATCACTGTCGTGTTCGGCATATTATTGATATTCATATTTCCTGATTGTATGTATATCATCCCTTAGCTGGAGACGATAAATAGTGAGACTAATCATGAGGTGACAGTCCCTCCTCAAGCCAAATGGCTTACGGAGAAAGAGAAGGCGTTCATCCAGGCCCGATTGCCACGCAACGCACCTCGAGCTGAAGAGGTCAACTTCAATTTCCGTGAAATCTTCGATTCACTGCGAGACCGCCGGCTGTGGCTTTTTACCCTGATATGGGCCTTCTTTACCGTAGGAACGCACGGTCTACGATTCTACCAACCGACTGTGATCGCAAACCTAGGATTCACGTATGTCCCCTAAGCTTTTATAGGTATGCTAAGCTGAACAAAATTAGGGACATTGCAACATCCCAGCTTCTCAACATTCCTACCTCCGTCCTAACGGTCCTCTGCATCGGCGTTTTCGGTATTTGGGCCGACAGCTCCCGCCTTCCCCGACCTCTTTACCCTCTATCTTTCCTAGTCGTCATCCTCGCCTGTTATGGTGTCCTCTACAGCTTCCCCAGCAACGGCGCCGTCTATGCCGTGACCGTCATCGCGAATGCATTAGGAAGTGCGTGGTTCCCATTGATGTGGCCGTGGCGCGTACAAACCACGAGCCGTGCGACTGGCTCTGCCTTCTCGATCGGCTTTGTGAATAGTTACGGTCAGATCGGGGGTGCTATCGGACCGCAGATATTCCAGAGCAAGTATGCGCCGCATTATACGGTGCCATTTGCCGTTACGATGGGGCTGATAGCGGCTTGTATTTTGACTACCCTTGTCACTTGGTGGATAACCAGGGACACGGAGAGAGCGACAAGGAGGTTGAAGCTGGCTAGGCTGGAAGCTATGAAGAGAGGGGAGGCAGTTTTGGATGACGTTGTGGACAACGACTTGGCGAAGAATAGAGACGTGGAGAGATCAGGAGTATAATTGTCTGTCCACAAGTTGCCAACTCCAGCGGTTATCCGGCGAAGCACTACCCTTCATTACAGCACGTCTCACCTTTGGACAAGACCGGCTTCAAACAGACCCCAATGCAAGGCTTACCTTCTTTGACAGTGCGTCTTTGCCCTCGTTCTCACCCTGCAGGAGGTATCAATAAATATATATAGGACCTCAGCGTGTCTTGCTAGCAAACCTATAGGAAGTCTACAAAAGTCAGAAAATATCCGGTCGTAGGCATAGTCTCTGTTTATGAAAGAATTCGGGGCTGGGAAGGCCATAGATGTTGAACGTTATATTCAATGTTGTGGGAGAAGATCGAAGAGTAGCAGGCTGGGGATGACGTCACATTCCCCGGATTCTCCAAAACAGAGTAAGCGGGACAAGTGTTAATCCGGTCATGAAATCAGGTGCCAAATTGACCGCTTGTTTGTCTTCATTTTCTCATGCCAAATGCACACACTCACACACTCTCTCTTCATGAATTAAATTTCCTCCCCTAGTTTGATGTCCCCTCCATCCCGCAAAAAGTCTTTACGCTTGAGGCTGTACCAATGGCTCTGGCGACTTCGGAATCTCAGCACACCCTTGCGGCTCCGAGGCAGCCTGGTCCGACTACGCCGATTCCATGAAAGCCCCCTTCTCGCTCTAATACGCCTATTGATTCCATTTCCAAGCTGGAAATTTCCCGTTCCAGACCCGGTTGCGCCCATTGATATTCTCGGCAATGTGGAATTGGAAGAAAATAAGCTAGAAAACTTGGACGACCTCCGGAGTATCCCACTCTGGCGCGCGCGAGACACCCCCATACGATCCCTCTACCGAATGTATGAGGCAATGGTATCCGGTATGTACGAGGCGCTCGGTCCCGAAACGGAATACTTTTGGTATCAGCGGAACTGGTCGTTGCAGGGTATTCGCGACCCACGGGATACCGATCCGGTGCGATATGCCATTCTAGCGTGTCTGGTGGAAGAACTCGTGGTTGCATTCAACTGGCGGTTGAGTTTAGGTCTACGTCGGGACCGCAACCATATTATGCGAGAAACAGGAAAGGATTCTTTCCCTCCGTATGCGCCCCTCTCGGGTCCGATTTGGACGAGCTCGGTACCGGCACTTTCCCCCGAAGACCTCGATCGGTTTCCACCCGAATATATTTCCGACGATAGCAAGCTTGTGCTAGAGGCAGATGGAGTGAACAAAGTCTTTGCTCGCCGAAATATCGTCACGAATGTTGGCTGGCTTTACACCATCTGAATCAGCCGCCCCCAAACCTACACGCACATATTAGGACTGGTCATATAGATTCTGTGGGCGACTTACCGTATGAGCCCCCCATGATTCTGCCAGCACTGGCTGCTACGGGGCCACCAAGGCAACACCTCGTGCCGCATATGGTCCCGTCATGGCCATCGATCTCCGTAGGATCAGAAGAAGATTTCCTCATTGTATTTTGCCTTGTAAGCGGCCGATACGCGTTGCATCGTCTCGTGATCCGGGACCACGTCGAAGCCGTTGATGTTTAATGTGCGATAATATTCCATGTCCAGTTTCCCCCCTTTGTCGTTCTTCAAGAGGTTCAGCATCGCCAGCGCATCAGATAGATCTAGTTCAGCCTTCCGGCCCCGGTCCGCTGCGTAAATGCGTCGCAATTTCCGTTCCAACGCCCATTCGACCGGTGCAGAAAGAACGGTAATCTGATTCCCGGACCAAAGTACAATATTCTGTTTCAAGGCCAGGCTCATCAGCAAGTGCCTCGCCTGCTTGGTCACGAACAGGGCGACATCGTCATTCGCCCAATTTTGCGGGTATCCCAGCTCGTCCGCGACCTGCACGATTGCCTCCCGAAGCGATTGTTTGATGTCATTGTCATTCGCCCAGTCAGGTTCCAGCAGGTAGTCCAGGTCTTTGGTGGTTTGTCGGTTCTTGAGGTGGGCCACGGCGAAAAATCCTCCGGCCGCAATGACTTTAATGGGTGCGAAAGCAACAATGATCGGGATCGCGGCCAACTTGGAATCCAACAATCTAAGACCTGGTATCGGGTTAGGGGACAGACACTTCCATTGTATGCGGAAGGGTGCTGATCTCTTGCCTTTGTAGAAGTCTTCCGCTCCTAGATATTGCTTCCTCTTCTGCATGGTGAGAAGCAATTTCGTTTCGCATGTCGGGACGGGGGCTTGGATGCTTAGTTATCGTGACGGCCATGGTGGAATCTCCGCGGATTGCCACGGTGAAGCATGTTGTGTTGGCGACTGCTGCTGACGCACTGGTGCCCATCTCGTCGGCAGTCCATTTCCCGCGGGGCATTATTGATCCACACTATAGGCAGACAAAGGGCTCCACGCCCTCTCGTGTCGCGCTCAGGAGTGGCGCAAAGTATGCCAGGTGGGGATAAAACCCAAACTGTGAGGCTTTGGCTGCCAATCCCTCTCAGACTTGTCGTAGCAGGGAAGAGTCCGATTCATCCTTCGCGCGCCGACCTGTCAGTCACCTCGGCTTTACCTTCCTGCCTATCGGTACGAGCAGGACTCTTTGCCTTTCATTGTGGAAGAGGTTTGCGAAGGTGCCGACTTGGCAGTGATGCTCAAAGCCCGAGTGTGCCATTGCAAAGGGCAGTGAATCGGAAGACTCCACGCGTTAGAATGAGATGTGTTGTCCGACGATGGTCTGGTCGTTGTCAGTACAGATTTGTAGAATCAGGGGGAACGGCATCCAAGAAGTTTTCCTCCTGGTGCCATCCTACGATTGGGCCGTGTAGACATGCATGTAATGTATAGAACCGCATCAGGCAATCCATTAGCAACCCAGCCAGCGAATAGAACGATTGCACGTAACCTCTTGCCAAGGGATTCCCGGCGGGACCCAGACGATCTAGACTCCTGATGGCCGATTCTTCTCGTCTCACGGCCCTCTCCGAGGTACCTATGATCTGTCCTTGGGAGAGAAACGTTACTAATCACATCCTGTTAGGCACGTTCTATGTCCATACAAACAATAGTTTCAAGCGATGTGTTCTTCTCCACTCTAGAAACCTGCCAATTCTGTCTCATACTTTCTTCCTCTGTGTCCCCTATGGCCGGTCCAACAGTCTCCAGGAAAGCAGTGGCAGTGGCATCCAGCCAAGGTGCCTAGTCCCCCATCGACAGTAGTCGTTCAGTTTCAGTCCCCGTATCTAGTTCATTCTGCGCAATTTCTCTCCAGGATCTTCAAGCACATTGCAGCCGCACCATTCCTGGGTATGAAGCAATGGTCAAACCGGTGACTCCATATCGGCGAGGAGAAAGGCCAGGTCTACGTTAAGGCCAGGTCGAAACTTGCGTTTCTGCCAGGCTCGGGGTTTATCAAACATGGATCGCCATCTCATCACAAATGCTGTCGAAACTGCCAAATACCAGCCTCTGTGAAAAAGAACCACGACCAGGGGATAATCTCGTGCAGATCTGACCAATTCAGCAGCTGTCAGGTACAGAAAGTCTCAGCATGGCGTTGTCTCCACTTCAGTGTTAGGATACTAATATTAGGAAACTACGGTTCATGTGCAAAGGATGATTGTCCCTGTCCTTTTCACTCACTGACAAGGGCCGAAGCCGTATGGGACTTCAGCATTAAGAGCCACCAATGTGGTCGTCCACGTAGGGACTAGGAAGCGTAAGAATAGTTTGTCTGTTTTTGTTTTCAATTTTTTTTTATTATTACTATTGTTATTATTGATTCCCCTTCAGAATGCTTATTTCATGGGAACAGAAAATTTAACTCCAACCGAAAGTGGATAATGGACCTCGGCACATGGCAGGAGGATTAGGGCTGGAACGAGGAGAGAACGATTAATGGTTGATTGAAGAGACGCAGGCCCTGAACGGAATGGACAACCGGTCTCGATCTGATTAGTGGGGGTGTTGATCCTCCGTCATGACCTCAAAATTGGGCGATATTATTGGATGCTATGGAGCTCAGGGTTTGATGGTTGCATTTCTTGACCTCCAAGCCTAATTCGCAGGGGCCCAGGGGTGTTCCACGGCTCCGATCCCGACTTCTCGCACTTCCGACCTCCATTCCTCGCGTCCTTCTCCGACTTCCACGATTTAAAACCCCCATGTCGTGCTGAAAAATGCCCGATCCCAAGTCCTCTGATGCTGCCGACGGCGGTAGCGGCAGCCAACGGGGTCGTCGATTTAAGCTGCCGGCCTGGTTGGACCACTTCAATGCGCGCGACTTGAAGGTACTCTTTCGCTGCTGGGCCGCGGCCTGGGTGGCCTCGCTGCTGATATTCATCGGCCCAGCCTTGCACGAGATCGGCATCGCGACCTTCTTCGGGGCTTTATTGCTGTATATTGCCCCCCCAGCAGGAATCCTGTTCGTCTACCTGCTGGCAGCGCTGTCTCTCCTCTTCGGCATGTGTCTTGCGTGGGCCTGGGGGCTCCTCACTATGAAAGCCGCGTTAGCGGCCCGACCAGACGCACAAACGAAGGCGATGGTACAGGCATTGCAACAGCAAGCGGTCGCGATCGGCAATCAAACCGGCACGAATCCAACTGTAGAGGCTCAAATCCTCGTGTACAATGGCTTCATGCTCGATGCCCGCGTTACTGTTATCTTCTACGTGATGATCTGTGCTTTTGTCTATTTTATGTCTCGCGTCCGTGTCGCCAATCCGAAGTTTGCCTTGGCACAGATTTTCGGCATCATCATCGCAGACCTCTTTCTTCTCTTCGGGCCAAGTTTGCCATCATTCAAGGCTTTCTTGCCGGAGGTCCTCATTAAACCAGGCGCCATCGGCATTGGCCTGGGGGTTGCCTGCTCTTTGGTCTTCTTTCCGCAGTCGACGTCGTTTGTGGCCCTCACACAGATGGAGCAACTCGTCCGCCTAGGAGGAATCCCGCTGAAGTGCACCCAGCAAAAGTTTGCAGGTGAATCCCTCGATCTGCAGCAGCTGACGGCCACTAAAGCGAAGACCATCGGAGCAATCAAGGCCATGCAACCGTCGTTGGCCTTCCTGCCCCTTGACTTCTCTCGTGGCCGCTGGAGCCCAGACGACATAAAGACGTTACAAGAGCCCCTGCGACAGGCTATTCTAGCCACTATGTCATTGATGGACTACCACATTAACCTCCTCAGAGCTGACCGAAAGCTACAAGAGATCAAAGCGCTCTCTCCACAGGCATCTGACAAAAGCGACGTGCAGGAAAAACGAGCCCACGACGTCGGACAGTATCAGCTACAGGAGAGCGCAGATGTACTACAAGGATTGGACAGTCCCGAGCACGGGGCTTCTCGACACCGCACACTGGAAGCATTGAGAAAATCAACCACGGAACTGCTTGAATTGTGCTCGGAAACCAGTGAACTCATTGCACAGTCTCTGCACGCGGCCAATTCTGGCCGATGGTTTCGTCGAGCCGCAGCGTTAAATCACCTGAATGAGCTTACGACGAGAGCGGATCGCGTATTGCAGACGCTGCAGTCAACCCGAGCATCATGTGCAACACAGACCACGGAAGCGCTTCTCGACAGCCATGCTGATTTATTTGATGAAAATGGTCAGTTGAAATCGGCCGAACACTTGGGACCGCATGCCCTCCGCGGAATGGTACTTGGAATGGTAATGGAGGAACGTATCCTCGGCGCTGCAGAGACTTTAGAACGACTCCTGGCCCAGGTCCACCGGTTAATGCAAGCGCGCGCTGAGGACCGCATCTGGATTCCCTCGGGTCTGCGCTACGCTTTCAGCTGGCTGGTGAACCCACACCAAAAGGCACCCACAGAAGACCTCACCGCGGCTCCCGCGACCGATCCTGACGATGCTGAAGAGCAAGCCAAAGAGGCGTATCGGCGTCTGAAGATCAGCCGTGGCTCCGGAAGGCCTATCCGGCGAGGCCTGGTGGTGAGAGCGCTGACCGGCTTTTATCACTGGTTCACGAATCCCGGCGGGATGTATGCACTGCGCATGGTGGTCGTCACGATCGCGGTGGCAATACCTGCTTCTATTCCACATAGCACTGGGTTCTACTACCGGGAGAAAGGTATCTGGGCTCTGATCACCGCGCAGACCACCTTGCTTGTGTACATGGGCGATTTCACCGTATCGCTCGTCGGTCGCACGATTGGCACGGTCGTCGGGGGTGTGATGGGCATGGTCGCCTGGTACATTGGGGCTGGCAATGGTCCCGGTAATGCCTATGGCCTGGCTGCAATTACGGCAGTGATGACCGCCATCCTGATGTGGTGGCGTTTGTTCCTGCCTCCAATCCTGACCATGGCGGCCATGATGGGCGGCGCCACATTTGTTTTGGTTATCGGCTTCAGTTACGATGACACTCACATATCGCAGTATGGTCTACCGGGACACGGCTACGAAGCATTTTGGAAGCGACTCGTCACGGTGCTGCTAGGCTTCGTCGCCGCATTCATCGTCCAGATATTTCCCCGCCCGCCCTCCGCAACACGGCATATTTGCAAGACATTGTCCAATACTATCGGCACGCTCTCTGATCACTATGCTCTCTTGCTATCTCATTGGGGTCGGCCAGAAACCAACAGCCCCATAGGTGCAGTAGCTGAGAAGATCGCCCTCGAGATCGGAGAAACTCTCCTGTCCATCCAAGGCTCAATTGGCCTCCTAAAATTTGAAATGACACTTGGTCCGTTCCACCAAGCAGCATTAGCAAACATGCACGTCCTCTGCCAGGACATGAATCAAGCCTTAGGTCGATTGCTCGTCCTATCGACCAGTCTCCCACAGCAGTTCCAGGAACGGTTTGCCCAGAACGTGGGTCTTCTCAACGACCATCACATTGGCGATATCATGGCCGTATTAAGTGTGATCGAGCAGGCGCTGAAATCAGGCCTTCCTCTGCCAGAACGCTTGCCAACGCCGTTGATGAAGCGGTGTTTCGAACAATGGAATGCACAGCGCCGTGCTTCGGATTTCAATACGACGCTGGTGCGAGATGAGAATTACCGGCGGTATTGTGTGGCCGTCAGTTCGTACTTAAAGTTCTTGTCGACTGTTGATGACATGGTGTTGGTATTGAAGGGTACCTTGGGAGAGTCGCATTTGATCGAGCGGTGTCCAACTGAGGTGCCGGTCTGAATGCTCCCAACCTGTTCTCACCAGCTGCTCTCTTCATCTATATGCTGTGTGGTTGCATAGTCCCGGCATAAATTCCAACACGTAGCACTCCGCTGTTCAAATATAGCCTCGACCACCGTCAATCCGTTCTGTAGAACGTTGTATATAATCAGAAGAGGAGAGATGATCATTATTCTACCGGTCATCGGCCATGAAGACCAGATATAACAGATATCCTAGCCCGCCAAGCATAGTCCTCATCAGCTTCATTGAGTCACCGGTACAGGTGGGAACGGCCACATTGCTGCCGCCTCTTCCGGTGTCATCTCCTCACTCATAGTCTCAATATACATGTTAAATAGATCCCGATTCACCTCATTCGTAGCGTCCCATCTATCATTCGGCACCCATCCAGTGTCATCCGTACAAAGCCCAGTCTTCACAGTGTCCCACAGATAAAGCATGTCACTATATTGTTCCTCCTGCTCCGCATGCCTTTCCAGCTCCCGTTCAGTGAATCCAAACGGACAAACACCGGGCAATACGAGGTTATCCCAACCTCGCGAAAGTCGGATCAAAGCATTCCGCAGCGGAACCAGACTTCCACAGTCAGGAAGCGAACAAGGGGTAAACGGCTCCCAAAGCCTCCGATCAAGGCTCATTCCGTTATACGCTGGTTCGTTAGACCCCCGACAAGCCAGCTCATAGTATTTTGACAGCGACGCCAAAGTGTTGTCTCTCTTCGCTTCTTCCTTTTGCTCTGGAGACAATCCTTCGAAATCATCCGGTAAGCGTGGCACCCGGGCTCCTGGGATATAGTTCTTGGGTGGTCTGAGGAATTCCGGGAACCGCGCTTGGGTGAACAAGGGCGCGGATCGTGTTGACTGCCAGTCTATTATACCTTGGATGGTGGTTGGGTTATCTGGGGCGACGAAGATGTTGTGGAGGTGGAGGTCTGTGTGCCAGAGGACTGGGGGTGATACATCCAGGACTTCTGGGTTGGACGAGAGTATTGGGAGGATTTTGATGATCTTGTGGAGTAGGCTGATGTATTCATCAATGGATTGGACTCTGCCAAAACGGTTGAGGTGTTCTTGTACTTCGCCTTTGGAGTTTGCGATATGAGCCAGTGCGAAGTTGTGCATTTGAAAGTGCGAAGTTCGACAGTGAGGACCCTTGACGTGTCAGAAGCCAGATCATTGATAAAGACAAAGGAACATACAGGGACCTGTATATTTCTTTTCATCAGGCGTTCCGGATATCCCATCCCAGGCAGTTCGATGGCAGGACGGACCAACGCAAAACGAGCCATCGGGGTCTAAATCAGCAGGTAGAGGATGATATTGAAAGTCGCGCGGTAGCGAGTGTTGTGAGTCACGTAGGTACAGACTCCCATATGCGGATAAGACCATACTTCTGAGCTCGCTCTCCATCTGGATGATCTGGGTTATGATCTCAAAACGCTCTAGCATATTCATGCTATCCCACTTTTCGCCAAGTGCAACGCCTGGAACCTTTTCCATGATGATGTGCTCTGCGCCTACAGGGTTCGCTGGATCTGGGCTCCAAGCGAATACCACTGGGACTGGTATAGACGTACGAGACTGCACTGCCAATATAAGTATGCTTTGCTCAGGTAGAAGGAATATGTGAACATACAGAAGTTCAATGTCGCTACTTCGGAAGCTGTGGTCAACGAGGGCGGTCCAGCATTCGGACAAGGGACCTTTGCTACCACCTCGTGGCCGTCGTCCATTGTAAGGAGAAAAGCCTTGTTAAAGTTTCCCTCTATTTTAATAATGTCCATGCATGTTGTTGAGTCGCTGAACACCGATGCTGCCTTGGAGCACAGATTGTTAACATGGAACTTGACATATCGCTGCGCGAGCTGGTGCTCCTCATCTATTAGCCATCGACCTGACGTGTACTTGAACAGGCCTTCTGGGCTAGCCTTCGTGGACACTGGTAGAGTTCATTGATTAGTGGTGTAGCGCTTGAATTGTAGACTATCGACAGGGAAGGAGAGACACACCGGTCCTATGTACCCAGAATGCTTTAGTGGGAGTTCTCTGGCGGAGTTTGATTCCGCTGGTCCTGAGGTGAACAATATGTAGACATGGAATGGGAGAGCAAAATTGTCTCATTCTATCTGTATATACGGAGACAGCTCCTCTAAAGAATTACCGCGAGGTTGGTGTGCGACCTTGCTGCATGCGGCTTCTACTAGAGTGACGTTGTAGAAACCCTGTTCCTCAAAGCGAAACAGGCAGCAGAGCTCAATACATGAAATATTTGGCAATTGGTCAGTTGTGAGATCAATTAGACCAGCTAGATCATGGCTTGAAGTGTCTTGTTGAAACAACTGTTGTTCAAACAAGGGGAAGTTCTTTTGGTGGTCCGTGCACCCGTTGTGTATTATCCTAGCGGTTTATTCATTGCATTCAAACTCGCTCTCGTTCGGCGAGTGATGAATAAAGCGTAATCTATCGAGATTCCACTTCAGTAGACTACGATAGAGACTTGGCCTGCATAAGTTCTAGTAACAAGCAAACCATATTCAGCAATATCGATGTAAATCCCAATCCCTCTTAGCTGTCCGGCGTCACCCTCATGCTGAATATCGTTCAGAATCGATACCATTGTCATTATCTTGATACACCTAGAGCACCGGCCATCACCCTGTTATGACATATCCCTGCAACGGCCCTGTCATTGACATCATTTATTCTCATGGGCCCCGGCCTCATGAGAGCAACCCTTTGTCATTGAGCATAAGGGCTATCGTCATTGTGCATAGCACCACTGCGACATGTCACACTCTTTGTCACAAGATCACCAAAAGGAAACCCTACTGACTCGCGTAGCCTCTCAGATATGGAAGACATACTGCAGTTCAGTTCGCAAGTGCCAAGCCAATATCGAAACCCGAGATTGGGAATGAGTGATCACGCACCCAACCCCAAACCCAGCCACCACGCGAGCACCCCACGATCCATTATGTTCACCGATACATTGCCTAAGACTAACCCCTGGCGCACTTGGAGCGCACTGGCCGACGATGCACTGTCCACAATACCCATAGAACCACGGCAATATCGAGAACCCGACTGGTCAAGTCTCTCCCGCAATACCCGCAATACCCTCCTTTCTTCCCACCGAACCCTTTCCATCCGCTCCACGCGAAGTCAACGTAACCCCCACAGGCGCCAAATTGCCACTAATGAGCAGGCTAGACAGGGATATGCCCCAGATTCCTGGGTCCTGGGACCGGGAAAGATCCTGCCTTTTGTTTCTACCCCGGACTCGAACCATGGGCGGGAGTAGTAGTGGTTGAGACGTCATGTTTTGTGACAGGTTATCCTATATAAGCTGTTTCTTTAGCTTCTAGCGTCTCTATTATCTACATTAGAATATCAAGATATTCGGTTCAATTCACGGCATTTCCAATCATGTACGGTGTGAACGAAAACAAAAAGAACAAAATGGTCCTCCCCTACATTTCCCCGGACCAAGTCTCAAAACGAAACGGAGTGGATAACCCCGAGATTTGTACGTTAACTACACCTACATCGATTGCCCTTTGAAGCGGAAGTACAATAGAACTAACGTGAGCAGGGCTGGTGATTGATGACATCGTCTACGACTGCACATCCTTTCTATCAAGACATCCCGGCGGCGAGGCTGTGTTGAGACGGTTCGCTGGGTTTGACTGTTCATGTATGTTCACTTTGGTTAGCTCTCTGACCATGTTCAAGATACAGTAAGAGTAAGACTCATGTTGTAAGCAGGGCAGTACCACGCTATCCATGGAGAACGGCGGAAAGTGTTCGCAAACAAATCACTAGAGAAACTAAGAGTTGGGTGGACGGAGGGAGTCAGCAATCCGTATTCTAAACCAGAATGGGTTGAATAGCGTATGCATTATAAGAATATAATCAATCATGCATATGTCACAAACTGTCTGTGTAGTAGAAGTCGTTATTACATTCAGTGAGCAGATCTCATCAATAAGAGAAACAGGAGAAAGAATCAATATTCCTGCTCCGCCAATCTCGGAAACGTAGTCGAGAAATCCAACGCATCACGCACAAAGATATCCCAGTCATAGCTATAATTCAATGAAGTCGGATCCATCGGATTAAGCAGCGTGTCTGCAGACCAGGTATCCTCCGTACCGGTACCCCCCAGTGGTGATGCAGACCCATTCAACTGCTCGTCGGGCATAGAACCATCTGGCCGACCTTGATTCGAGCCTACAGATTCGTTCAGCAAAGCTGCGTCCTGTTCTTTACGCTTTTGTGATAGTCGGACCAGGAAGTCGATGTTTTTGTATGCTTTTCGCGCCTTCTGTGTCGCGAAGTGGTCGGCTGCTTTTTTCAACGTAGAGAGGGAGTCCTTGACGTGGACGAGTGATTCTCGCGTATCCATCGCGAGGAGAATACAGGTGAACTGAAATGGAACGTTACTGACGTGCCACCAAGGACAGCTGGCATCGATGGATCGTGACGACGCGGCGAGGCCTTGGCAGCCTAATCGAATGACCCGGTCGACGACGGATGTCATATTGGCGGTTGAGTTCAGTATTTGCAGACGGCGATAGATAGTAAAGGAAAGCACACTCTGAGAGAGAATGACAGCGTCGGACTCAAATTCAAAGCCTTCCAGCCGGACAAGCGACTCCTCCAACTCCGACACGTCGACCGTCTGGTCGGGGTCTAACTTTTCTGATAGCTGGAACAACGAGAGGAGGTCACTTGTGGGATCCCCGGCTTTTGGCGTAGGAGGCGGGCATTGAGCCCCTCGGATGACGACCTGCGATCGACCATACTCGAAAGAAATCCATGTATTGAGCAACTTGGCAATCCAGAACAGCCGTCGCCTACATTCCAGATTTTCCGGCTGGCCGCCGTTGTGAATCTCCGGATAAACCAGTGAGCCGCGAGTGGACTCACGATGTAATCCAGCCGCCTCGACAATATGCATTGTGGTGCACGACGCTATCCACGCAGCGTGCGGCGTGCTGTGGCATCGCAGATACATGGTGCGTAGCAACCAGCCCTCGACATCGTGGACGCCCGGGCTGACAACCAGCGTACTCGTCGTCTCGAGAATATCTTTGGCGCAGTCAATCAGATGTCGTTCCTGTTCACTTGCTTTCGACCGCGACGAGAACAGTGATCCCAACGCTCCCACCCCACATAGAACGGCATCATACTCGTTTGACGCACAGGGATCCTCCCATCTCCTCCCCGCCTGCCCAGCCACCACCTCCACATCCAAGAATCCATACACGGGATGGATCTTCTCAACGTAAACAGCAAACAGATTCTGCCACGCAGCCTGCGACAAAATCCAGGTAATGCTCTTTTCCGAACGATGCGGACTCCGGCGGACACCCAAGTTCCACCCCGAGCCGTGCTGCATTGAAGGCGCATGGTCGGGGCTCAGTTTAAGGCCCAGTAACTGTGGAAAGAGGACACCGGAGTTGGCTTCCATTGATTTCTCCTCCGTTGGCCGACGGCTACTGGGTTCCGGAGCGGTAGAAGGGGGTGCTGGACCGGGTGATGGCAGTGTAACTGGTGGCGAGAATGTTTGCCCGGCGGCTACGGTCGTGAGTCGCCTTTTGCGAGGAGGCGGCTCATAGCAGCAGCGGTAATCATATCGACTGCAGGATTCGCATGGTGTTTGGCCATCGCATTTGCGTTTCCGGATCTTGCACGCCTCGCAGGCGAGTCGGGTGCGGCGGCGTCGGGTTTGTGGGGGTTGCTCTTGGGGAGGATTGGTGTCCATTGTATATGATTTACTGATCTTGAAATCACCGAATCTACCTTTTCTTCTCATATATGGACTGTGGGACTAAGCCATAGAGCGTGCAAGGCGACAATATGCGTAACCACGAAAGAAAGGGATAGGGTTGGTCAGGTCAGTCGTATAAAAAAGTACGGGCGGACCCACACGTTATAACAAGGATCAATGCGGGGAAGACAAGTTTATTTCTTTGTTTTCCCCTCCTTTTCTGCCCCGGATATATGGTCAAACTGGAGGCTGTTGTCAGAGCCGAAGGATCATTAGCATTCAAACTAGGCCGGAATGACGACGCTCGCTATTAAAGCAATACGAGGGGAAAGTCCAGACCGCCCGTTTGCTCGGTAACCTCGGGGCGATGGAACCTGCATGAACGCTTTCTCGTTTCGAGTAATGGGACCCCTGTAGGGGGTGGCTTGTACGTCACTTTGCAGCGTGACTCAGGGCTTTACAGAATCATGTGCACGAGGTGCTACTTGAATGGAGCTTATGAGAACTATACATCATTGGTGTCGACTTTGGAGAAGGTAAAAAGTAAACCATAGCAGTACTGGGATAAAAGACAAAGAGAACCAAAACCAAAGATTATACACGGAATCATTAAGCAGGCCCTTTCCCATCTCTGGGCAGACAAGTTACAATCGCCCCAAGAACCTCTTGATGGCCTGTGCCGTTCCCTCCAGGTCCTCAAATACATGCCAATGACCCACGTCCTTCAGCAATTCTACCTGCGAATTGGGTATCTTGCTTCGGTAACCCTGGGCTAACTTCACTGGCGATATGGCATCTTCCTCTCCGGCGACAATCAAAGTCGGCATTCTCAGATTCTCCACTGTGATCACGGTACCCCTTGACCTCGCAAGCGCGATGCATCCCTTGGCATAGCCCTCCGGATGAGTAGACAATAGGGATTGGCGCACCGCGGAAAGGGCCAAGGGCCGCGATTTAGTCACACTGGAGGTGGCAGCCGTGGCCACAGCGTTGGCCACACCCGACGCTTCCATGCCTTTTTCGCGAACGAGGGCAGCACGCTTGGTGAATAATTCAACGGCAGGTTCTGGGAAAGGGGTCGGTCCTGGCCCCAGCAGGACCAACGTCGTGACACGAGACGGGTGCTTTTCTGCAAAGAACATCGCAATCAGCCCACCGAGGGACCAGCCAACAAGAGTAGCAGATCCGATCGATTTGGCGGCGAAAAGCAGGTCAAGGTCTCTCGCGAAGGTCTGCAAGGTAGCAGTTGAGGAGGCTCGGGTGGGCGTTGCGCCGTGTCCCTCGAGATCGTAGAGAATGATACGGTAGTCCTTGTCGAGCCCAGCGGCTTGGATCAGTGGTGCGTAGTACTCCAGATTGGCACCAAGGCCGTGAATGAAAACGATTGTTTCTGCATTCGGGCTTTGGGATCCCAATTCTCGGACGTTGATGTAATGATCAGGTCCGACCTTTGTTAACCCAACACCGCCCCAAGTCCGATCAAGGTTGTAAGTTGGAATGCTCGATGGCTTTTGGAGGACACGATCGACAGTAGGGTTCTTGCTACCAGGATCCGCAATGCGATTGGAAAGCTTTCCAAGACCAGTGATGCTCACTTCGACTGGAGAAATTTATATTAGCTTTGGCCACCAGGAAAATACTTTCTAAGAACTTGAGAGACTGGGCTTACCCAAGTCGCCTGGCTTAAGGAACTTCGGTGGATGGTGGCCAACACCAACGCCGTGTGGAGTGCCTGTTGCGATTACGTCGCCTGGCTGAAGTGTGATGCCACTGGATACCGTCTCAATCAACTTAGGAATCGAGAAAATCAGGTCCGCTGTGGTGCCATCTTGACGCTTTTCACCATTGACATGGGTTTGTACTCGAATTTCTCCCGGTAATGCTGCAGCTGGAACAGCAACCGGTCCCTGACAGAATAATTAGCAACCAAATGCAGATGGGCGAGATAAGAAACCAAACATACCATAGGACAGAAGGTGTCGGGTGATTTCCCCATGAAATATTGCCGATGGTCTCGCTGTCTTTCACGGGCGGAGAGATCTGGGTCAAATTAGTTGGCTTCTCTCAAGTCGTCCTACAAACTAACCATTTATGATCGTATAACCCCAAACATAATCCATTGCATCTTTCTCCTTGATAGAAAAACCTGCTTTGCCGATGATGACTCCCAGTTCACCTTCGTAATCCATTGTGTCAGTAAATCCAGGGTGGGGATAGATGTCCGTTCCACTAGCAGTAACGCTAGTACTGCGCTTGGTGAAGACCGTTGGGACTTGGGGGCCTGTATATTCTCAGTGTCTTCTGCAAACTTATTCGTAGAGATATTATTTCTTACTGTCAGTTACTTTGCTGCCAGCCGCAGCATAGCCACTTTCCTGGTATTCTTTGATATGCTTGCGGTAGTTCTCGCCAATACAGAGAACATCTCGGTCTGCGAGAGGTGGCAACAGCTTCACTGAGCTTAGCGGGAATGGAGTTTCCGCAGCGCGGACAACACCTTCATCACCCAGTTCAATGGCCTGGCTCAGGTTGGCAAGGGGTGAGCCAGAAGCCATCGTCAGCGGCTGGATTGTGGAGTCAGCAAGATCGAGATGGCCAATGCGAGGCCGTCCCAAGTCGTCTTCGAAAGCTACAAAATTGAAGTAGCTCTTTTCCTCTTGCAATGATGGAGGTGCCGTAGTCATAGTGAGGAACTCCATCGGCTGAGCTTTGTGGATACGGCCGTTGATCATAATCACGTCCAACTTGGAATGGTCTTGAAGCACCGCAATATCTTTCAGAGGATCACCATCGACAAGAATGCAATCGGCGTAATACCCGGGAAGGATCTTGCCCAGCTCGTCCTCCTGCATGAACAGCTTGGCTATTCCAGCGGTTGCAGCGACAATGGATTCCATCGGCGTAAAGTCCAGTAGCTTCACAAAGTGCTCAAGATCCCGAGCGTACGTCCCATGAGGACACCAGGCAAAGCCATAGTCGCCTCCCGGAAGGACGGTGATACCTCTCTTGTGCATCTCCTTCAAGGCTTTTGTGGCTGTCTCCAACTCTTTCCGGTACCCAACTTGCTCAGCTTTCTCCATGGAATACCCAAAGGGTTCCGCCTCATAAACGGTGGCA